ATAATTATTTATAAAATAACAATAAAATAATATATAATAATTAATATTATTATTTATAAAATATATAATATTTATATTATATTATATATTGTTTGTATAATATATATCTTTATTATGTTATATATAATATACATATCTATCCAAGGTCAATATTTCCACACCAACCAAGCTCTACCAACATATGAAACTAACTGGACAATACTTTTTAAATGTGTAAAGAAGCATGGTAAAATAAGTCAGGAACATGCGAGTGGCCCCATTTATACCTAAAAATTGCAATGAAAATCAGTCAATGTGAGATTTTTTTTGACAAAATTATATCTCGGTCAGAAGATGGCACCACAACTTAAGTTTAAAAAAAAAAAATGGCTTGAGCATCTTCAAACCGCAACTTAAGTTTTGAAAAAAAAAACAGCTGTCCAAGAATTTCAACCTTGCACCATAAATGTTGAGTCACGAATAAGTTACGGTAAAATATGGAAAAAGTCTTAAGGTATATTACGTGCCTAAATGTTTAGTCACGAATCAAACGTCTTAAGGTAAAATATGGAAAACCGAGTAGCGAACGGCCTTGGTTTTGTCGAATATCCAACAATTCCTTCCCAAAAATAACCATTCCGCATTACCCCAAAACCTCCACTGCCTATAACCATTCATCCATAACCTAAGACTAACCACCATTAACCTTTTAATTTGATTAAAAACCCACTCTATATATAAATACCCCCCTCCCATCCCCGAAAACCACAGAACTCAAATAAACTAACAAAATAAAAAGTGAAAAAAAAGGGAAAAAAAAGAGCCAAAACTATGGCATCCTACCAGCTCCCTGCAATTTTATTGATCTTGGCAGTCCTTATGGCAGCGTCTGTGGCACCAGTAGCCCAAGCCCAATCTGCGAGTGCGAGTGCGCGTCCAGCAGAATTCTCTGAGTGCTTCTCGGCTCTATGGGACAAAGTGGGATTCTGGCAGGAGGTCTACAACTTCTACACCACTGGCAAGAACTTCCCTGGGGTGGATTGTTGCAAGGCATCTCTGGAAGTGGGAGCACAATGCTGGCTCACATTTTGGGTTCCTGGTGGCCTCAGTCCTGCTCTCATCTCCAAGCTTAAGTCTTACTGCACTGCGTTCGTTGCGCGCTCGGCCTCGGGGCCTGCACCTGCACCCGGAAAGTCTGTCTAGACAGAAACCATAAAGAGTGGAGCTTCCATATATTTCGTTGTATGAAGAAATATTTCCTCCTTATTTTGGGATTTAAGTGTAATTACTGTGAAATGGAACTTGTCAGCTTTTGTTCCAAGGGATTTTTTTAGGTTTTTATGGGTTTAATATACTGAATATGCCCAAAAATAAATAAAAACATACTATTCTTGTTAAGAAAATGGAATATAGTTTTGTAATATCATTATTTAAAAGATCTCTGAGACCATCTTAAAATTGTATTAGGGCCCATTGGTTCCACGGAAATGTGTCTCTGGAAGGCCCATTTTTATGGATACCACTTGTTTACACACTTTGGATGTGCCTGGATCTGGGATTTCAATTATTGTGTGGAGACCGGCATCCACGTTTTTTAGCCCAAAATCTGGAAATGTAAATGACACCAAAATAGGTAAAGTTCAGATTTCCATGTCTTGAGGTGCAGGAAAAGGGTTTGGTGAGTGGGCCACTCACATTATTCTTTCGTGGCCTCCCTACAAAAATATATCTCCCAAGTGTATTTTCGGTCCAAACTTTTAGAGCCAATAATCTCAACCATGACAATAATCTAAATTCGAAATTTTTCTTTTTCAAAAGATATAAATGTTAGTTTTTAATTCCTTTTGAGCCATTTTTTATATCTAAAACACTTTTGCCTTTTGAGCCATTTTTTATTTTTTATTTTTTTTAACCAAAACGAAGTTAATACATCTTCGTTGCCGCACAAATTTATTGATGTTTAGGGAGACATACATAGGGCCAGGGACAAAGTTGCCAGGAAATAACATGAATGACGGTGATATATTTACTCGAGGACATATGCTATGCTACCGTGGGAATGCAGTATACATCTACTCCCTCAACAAGAAATCTATTAAGGAGCTTTTTTTTAATCTTAAATTTTAGGAAGCACCAAAGAATTCAGGGTGAGAATCTACCCGATTCGGATCTGGATCCGAAACCCAAAATTCGGATTCTATTCAGATCTAGGTATGGACCCCAAATTTGGATTTGAAATCTGGATCTGGACCCAAAACTCAGGTCCGAATTGAAATCCGAATTGATTCAATCTGGATCCAACCTATATCCGAATCCAATCTGTTTTTTTTTTAAATAGGATATTTTTATTTTATATATATACATTTTTTAAATAGTATATGTACACATATATAGTAATCCGGATCCATATCCAATGTATACTCTTCGGATCTAGATCTGGATCCAAATATACAGGACTTGATCGGATTTGGATTTGTATCCAAATCCGATGTATACTATTCGGATCCTCCCAGATTCAAACCTGATCCGACTCGCTCTCACCCCTACTAAGAATCTCTAAAAGATTATTTGTAAAAGAAAAAAAAATGAATTTAAGTTCTACAACACAAACCTCCTTTGTTAAATCTTGAGATATTGTTTTTTTCAAGCCCGAGAGTATGATTTGGAAAAAATAATTTTATTGAGATTAGTCTATAGATTGAATGTTATATCCCAAAAATTTGATATCCTAGAGTTAATACTAGATCAGCTTTTTGCATGAGGAAGTAAATAAATAGTTTACTCCTGCAGGAACACAACATCTTTAGCTATTGAAAATGAGAAAGAAAAAGGCCACAACTTCTAAAAAGTTTGGACCCGGTTTCGACGCGGCCAAGTGCGCAAATGTAAAGGTATATTAATAAATTTATTTTTGAGAGAGATTTTTTTACTCAATTTTTAAAGACGTGGAAAAGGAAAATTTTGCTTAAATTTTCGAGTAATGTGAATGTATGCCATCACAGTTTCTGAATTTTTTTTTAGGCTTATATGGGTTTCACATAGGCAAAAAAAAAAAACCACAAGACAGCTTATTTGGGCTTCATTCAATATTCTGACAAGCACAATACTTGTAGGGGTGGCAATGGACCCGGACCTGCCTTATATTCTCGACACAAATCTGGGTATGAGTCCAAATTTGGACATGGCAGGTCGGGTCCAAAACTTGGACCTAAACACTATTTGGGTCCCCCGTTGGACCCGACTCGTACACATAAACTATTGGAGATCAAATATTTCAAGTCTTATTCGTTTGAGATTATTAAGGATAGTCTACAATAAGAACTTGTAGTCATCTTTAGCTATTAAACAACGAATTAGTCGGCATGAAATCTAATGGCGGGTGATTGTGACCATGTTGCCAATAATATGAGTATATGATGGTAAAAACAGGGCAAAAAAAAAAAAGCTCATAGTGATGGTGGCAATGGACCCGACAAGACCTTGGACTCGATGGGATAGACTCAGGACCTGACGGGTACAGGCATGGGTCCAACCTTTAGACCCGACTGGTTGGGTCCGGGTCCAAAACCTGGATCCAAATATTATTCGGGTCTGGGTCCAAGTCCAGCTGGACCCAACCCGATGCCACCCCTAAATACTTGGCATGAAAGTTTAAGCCTATGTATATTTTTACTGACTTTTTGTTGGATTTCCTTTTATAGATTTGAAGACACGTATAAAAAGCAAGGGAAAATTACATAAATATCCGTTATTATCAAAATACCGAATACTTTCCGTTATTACCCTATTTTTTGGACTTCATAACAATTTTTTTTATAAAAGATGAAACTACTCATTTTCGGTTTTTCAAAAACATAAATCATGCCAATTTTGAAAAAAAATTCTCTCTAGTCGGTCCTTTGTGCATTTTCTCTCTCTGAAACCCCTTTTCTCTCTCTCTCTTTGAAACCCTCTCTCTTAAATCCCCCTCTCTCAATCAGAGACGCCTTTCTACCTGAAATCTCTCTCTTTGAAACCATCTTTACTAATCGGAGAGCCCTTCTCTATGTCTATGAAACCCTCTCTCTGAAACCCCACTCAATCAGAGACCCCTCCCTCCAAGAAATCTCTTTTTTAAACCATCTTTGCTAATCAGATGGCCCTTCTCTATCTATCTGAAAACCCTCTCTCAATCAAAGACCCCTCTCTCCCTGAAATCTCTCTATCTGAAACCATCTTTGCTAATCAGAGAGCCTTTTTCTATCTCTCTAAACCCTCTCTCTCTCGAACCCCCCTCTCTCAATCACAGATCTCATCTCTTCCTGAAACCTCTCTCTAAAACCATCTTTGCTAACAAAAAAAATGGACGTGTAAGTAATAACGGAAAGTATTCGGTATTTTGATAATAACTAAACTTAAAACGGATATTTATGTAATTTTCCCTTAAAAACAAATATAAGACTATGCACTTTACGTATAATACTAGAGCTTCGTCACTGAAAATGACAAACATTACTTCCAGATCCATAATTTTTCACGTCACGAGCATAGTTAGCAGTATTCTGTTTAAAACACAACAGTTTTTATAAGAAATTTTTCTTAAGATATGTTTTTGCAAAACCTGATTTTCAAAATCATTTAAAAAAGAACCATTGTTTTTTAAAAAATGAAATATAGTTGTATAATATCATTATCTAAATTTTTTTTCTGAGGCCATCGTAAAATCGTATTGAAGTTCTTGGTTTGTACCTATCTCTTGGCTCATTGGACCAAACCCTATTCATCCATTTCTCTCCTTATATGGCATTAATTTATTATGATAAAATTATACTTATCATTTTTCAGGTAACTTTGCAATTATAAAATTATTATATCATCCATATATGTTATAATTTTACCATGACTTATATTATAAGTTAGAACATACACTCACCATGGTAATAATAAAAACATCCCTTAGAAAATAAGGAAATATACAAGAAATAGATAATTATAGCCTTATACTTATTAAAATACTAGTTAGATTAATACATTAAAAAATATGACAATTTAAAAAGTTATTAGCAAAATATAAAAATTAATCATGAATTTTGATAAATTTTAAACTTCACACTATAAAATATAGATTTACTAAAACATACTTAAAAGATACAAAGTTGCATTTCTACTTCCTGGTAACGACAAAAAATTATTTTCTAACATTCTAAAATTTATAATAATGGTAAAAATTCGTTATGAATAATTATGAATACATAATAATTCATAAAATTATATTTAAATTTTTGAAATGATGATATGTAAATCTAAAAAAAAATTCAAAATATTTTTAAACTAACGTTTATTAATTTAAAACGTAAAATTTTAATAAATGTTTTTAAGATGCATCAAAACTCCTAAATAAAATTATGGATAATGTGTGTTGCACCTAAGAATGAAATAAGAAAATACATAAAATAAATCTCTTCATAATATAGAATAATATTATTTTGCTAGACAACATGCGCAATGCACTGGTATGATGATCGTATTATATCAAGATGACTATGAGCATTTAAAAAATGCTACAATATGTATCATTCGTGCAATAAGAGTGCTCAAATCATATCTGCCATAAATATAAAAAATTATGATTTTATCACTCTAAAGAGTTTATTCATATTTAAAAGAAAAAAAAAAAAAGCTCTTACCCGGTAAGAAATTAATTTGTTTCAATTCTCTCAATGATTACCCTTAGCAACTCTTGTGGTTTTGATAATATTTAATACAATTTTCTAATGAATGATCATTTTTTAAAAAACATGTAATATTGTTTTCTAATGAAGGAATATTTTTTAAAAAATTTACATGTAATACGGTTTTCTAATGCAGGATCATTTTTCCAAAAAATTTACATGTATATCTGATAAGATTTCAAATGTGGAGAGAGACCAAGTTAGGAGCGAAAAACCAACCTGAAAGACAAAAGGGAGAGAGACCATGTAGAAAGAGAGAGAAAAAGGCTAAGGTAACTAAAAGAGAGAGATAGAGGCTATATTGTAAATGTGAAGAGAGAGAGGCCATAAAAAGTGGAACTTGCATATGTATAGGATCATCCCCAAAAAACTTTGCATGCATATCTAATAGGGTTTTAAATATATAGAGAGAGTGTTATGCTATAAAGATTTGCATGTATATCAAATGTAGTTTTAAATATGGAGAGAGAGGACAAAAAAGATGTGTTTACA